CTTTATTGTGCCTGTGTAATACGCCCAGGTGCGCTTCTGTCCTGAGCTCACAGCTCTTATGTGTCCAGCTGGGCGACGTTTTGTTCGCCGGACGGCGGACACTTTGAACAAATCCTCTGTTTCTCCGTTCTGAGCGAAAACGGTCAGTCAGCCTATAATATTACTAAGTATATTTGATGATATTATTGTGAATATATAGGCGTGTTTACGAGAGTGGCCGGGTAGGCACTGACCCCCCCCCCCCGGCCGACTGTGCCTCAAACAAAATCATGCCAGGATAAAAAAAAAGTCGTGTGGTGTGTACCCTGCAGTCGGTGCAACTCGTTTGCGCACAATCCAAATTGTTTACCTAGATATCGATGACTCGTTTGCGCACAACATAAACACTTCATAACATATATTTTATATTTTTAAATTTGGACTAACTTAAGTAATTGATTATCGGTACAAATTATCAGTTTATCAGCATATCAATATTCAATATATCATTATCATCATTGAAAATAATCGACGTGTATTAAACATAATATTTTTAAGCAGTCGTTCTTCAGAAAGCGGTATACCTACTGACTAGTGACTATGGATATCGAAATTTGTGATATTTTTGAAAGAGAATTTCGAACTTTAAAATCTAGTGATACACATTTTAGGTGTACAAATAAAAAATGTTCCTTGAGTGATGTAGTAAGGTTAGTTAATAATAAAAAAATATAAAATTTTAAAAATGACAAACACGCATAGAACCACTATTACTTCTTATTAATTGTATAATTATATATTTATTCAGAACAGACACAGAACAGATGGTCCTAAGCTTATATTAAAGTGAGAAGAGAAATGTGCTGTTCTGCTCAAAGTGAAATGTGCGCAAATGAGTTGTACCTTTATAATTTAAACCCAAAATATGTGTGCGCAAACGAGTTGTGATTTTGTGCGCAAACGTGCCGTAAAAAAGGTAAATGTGCGCAAACGAGTCGCACCCCCTGCAGTACCTATAGATATTTTGATTAATTGTATTTTTTTTAGTTACGCATTTATTAATTAGTGATTATATTATCATATACATTTTTTTTTATTTTTTATTGAAATAAATCTACAATCTATACATAATTTAATTTTTGTACAATAAGTAGGTTTGGTAAGTGAATAATAAAAGGTTAACATGAATCATGTGATTAGTTAGGATACCCAGTGGTAATACCCTATAATATTATACCTAACAGCCAACAGGTATAATAATCGTATAATATGGGGGACGGATTATGTAGCGATTTCCTTATTTTATTGTAATTCAAAAATGAACACCTAACTGTAGATACATGAAAGTTTCACTGAATGTTATACTAGCATTTCCTTTACACCATACAATTTTGAAAATATTTTGACGCTTTTTGGGCTGTTTACGGACATTTTCAGTTTTCAATTTTTTTAGTTTTTTTTTCTATAAATATCAATAAAGTTTTATCTGTTGGGCCAAAAAGTGTAAAAATTTAATACAAGGCTTCTGAAATATTGTTACAATATCAGTTGAAAAATATTAAAAATACATGGGAACAATTTTTTTTTATAAGCATTTAAAGATTGAATTTTGACAAAATGTATGAAATTTAAAATTGAATAATAATTATTTTGTAGTTAAATATTTTTAAAATGGTTCAACTTTTATATCTAAGGATTGAAAATTTAAAAAAAGATTCCACCAATAAACTCTATGAATGTACGTAACTAATATACAGTATTAAGCATAATATATTAAATAAACTGTAGTTTTTCTACTGAAAATTAAATAATATTATAAATTAGTGTAGTTTGATGAAAAAGATATTACTTATAAACTAAAGCTTTAATATAGTATTGATACTTTCTAAGATACACACAATATATTATATTTATAAGCAGTGTTGGGAATTATCTAGATAATTTATCTGGATACAATTATTTCTTAAATTATCTTATCTAGATAAATGTAATGGTTATCTGTGTTAATTTATCTAGATAAATAATATAGTAATAAGATAATAATTTTTAAATACTGAAGCAGCCAATAATTTACGAGAACCCAGTAGTGATTCCAAATTCCAATATTATTATAGTTGAAAAAACTAAAAAGAAATGTTTACTGAAACATTGTCAGTTTTATTTTGTTATTCTATTTTTATTTAAATTTTATTAAAAAAATTAAAATTGTGTATTATTTTAGTTAAGAAATGGCATTAAGGATTTATTAATTAATAAATATTACCTAATTGGTAATTATTAATAAAGTAATAAATTATATTATTTATAATATAATGGGCCCCCACACTAATATCTTCAGTGGGGCCCATTATCTTCTTGAAAAAAAAATAAAAAAAAATATATAATTTAAAAACAAATTATCTATTTTTTTATCTAGATAAATGTATGTGTATTTTATCTTTATCTAGATAAATGTATGTGTAATGTGTATTTTATCTTTATCTAGATAAAAAAAAATTATCTTATATTTTATCTTATCTAGATAAATTTTGAATGAATTATCTGTTATCTTATCCAGATGATTTTTTGGTTATCTTTTCCCAACGCTGTTTATAAGTATAATATATACCTATACTTAGGTAGGTAATGAAAGTATATGTTCGAAAGCCGATATAATATGGGTTAGCCGTTCCAGGAAAAACATAATCACGAATAATTCGTCAAAATGTTTTTATTAAATGTTACCTACTAGGTATATAGTGAAGTACTTAAGGTCTGGAGCACATGTTGATCTATGCATAGATCTTAAATGTTTGATTTAGTTTTTGATCTAATACATAATACCTAGGTACTCAATCCCATATTTAAAAAAATCTTCTTGACTTGACAAATCGAAATCAGCCCATCAATTATTTTAACTAGGTAGGTATATCTATTATTAAAGAATAAACATATATAACACCTGTGATGTATGGCAATTTGCAAGGCTGGGCATTAACGAGTTAATAAGTTAAAGTTAAGTTAAAAAGTTAAGTTACTTTTAACTAAGTTAAATAACGAGTTACTTTTTTTTTTAAAAGTAACTTCTAACTTAACGATTTACATTTTTCCCCAAGTTATTCAGTAACTTAACGAGTTAATTAATTGTATTGGCACGTTAAGTTAATTTTTTCCTAAACCACATATTATTTAAAATTAATTCAATTTTGTAAAATTAATTACATAAAAAAAAAACCCGAAATATTAAATATATTTTATTAAATAATAATTTATAATAATAGTAAGTTTTTATATTGCATATTCACAGAAAATATTTTATAACTATATTATAGAGGGAAATATCATAGGGGTAACCGCATCAAAGAAAAATATAACAATTTACTCAGTACCTAACCTATACCTAATCATTATTAAGAGGGTGCAACACCAGTCGTTTTGTATTGAAAATAGTGCGTTCGTATTTCAAATGCTACGAAATCAATAATAGTCGTAGACTCATAAGTAATACATTGTTTGAAAGGTGGTAGTTTTTGCTATGTTTTGTTGGAATCAGATATTTGATATTGTGATTAATTATCTAAAATATAAGCAAATCAGTATTTACAAAATGGTCTTTTTTCTATGTCGTAATACTCGCTTGTTAATACTATTTTCAGAAATCGGTTTCCAACAAAACATAGAAAAAATTCTCCTCTACAATTTTTGTAATAGGTATTTATACTGTAAAACGCATCACAACGCCGTATTACTTGAATTACGAAACCATGTTTTTCGGTTAAAAAAATACGCTCGTCGATTAATTACGCTCGTCATGTGCTGCGCCCATAAACAGCGGCAGCGTTCATTACTAGATGTTCATATACCATCACCCCGCGCGCGATAACGGCAGTACCGCACCATAGTCCAAAATAGGTTTTCTATCGCAGCCGTGCGCCGCCTGTACATAACCAGATAAGAAAACGATTATAATATAATGTGACAAATATTATTTAATTTTGTTCGGTTTTATATTTTGTATTCGTATCTGAATTTTATACTAATAAAAACTATTGTTTTGTTCTTCTAGGAATACGGCTTATTGAAGCGGTTTACTACAGAACTACCTATTATAAAAATTGTAAAGGAGAACTTTTTTAACAATCGTAAGGAATCTCATTTTTGATATCGTATTCCTATCGTTCAATATCATATGGTAAATTAACAAGGTTTTTAACTTTTTATCGATTAATTATTCAACTAATTAATAAAAAATATCGAAAATCGGGCTTCTTACGATTGTTAAAAAAATTCTTCTCTACAATTTTTATAATAGGTAGTTTGGCTGTAAACCGATTCAATTAGCCGTATTACTGAAATTATCGAACTATTTGGGTATGATAAAAAATACTAATTATTACGATACCTATCGAAATAATTAATAATTAGGTAAGAAAAAATCAAAATTAAATCAAATGTTATTTCATTTAGTGTACATTGTAGTATACGTAGCCACGTAGGTATATTGTATACAAATATGAAACAATTGTTACAAATTAAATGTCATATATAATAATTATATTATAATCATAAGCGTGCGCAGACCTCTGAGTCAGGTATGGCTAAGTTCAATCTGATCATCTACCCCCTGCAGGTCATGGTCACACAAGAAAAAAATTATAGACATTTTCACCACAAACTTTTAAGTGGCCCTTGTGTAGTTGTGTTGATGACTGGAAAATGTAAATAATAATTTTTACCTACTTTACGTCACAATCGGTCCGTCCAGCCGGCTGCGGCGATATTTATAAAAATAGCACTGCCGGCTGCCGCGAATCGCCATAACATCGAATTCTCGTAATCCTGTATAATTATAATTTATATCTTACCCACTCTACACAATATTAAATTATAACAAAAATGATATTGTTTCTACTAGTTTTAACAAATTTATTATGCGTCTATGCAATTGAAAGTGTTCAGTTGACTACTGGGCGTCTAGAGTTCTAGACTGTAGTGTATTTTTTCCGGGTTTACTCATATTTTGTTTTGTTAAATTTTTTTAAATGGATAACCATAAAGTTAGTAATTCGAATAAAAGGCGGATAGCACCGTCGAGACGTAAAAGTATAAAAAAACTAAACTTTGAAAGAATTAATAATTTTACTAAAAGAACACCAAAATGGTAAGTTATACTCGTATTTGTATTAAATTATTATATAGACAAAAAGTATATAGGTAGTTAGACTATAGGTAAGCGAGTTTATTTTCCATACAAAATAATGTAAAATAAAAATGTATAATTAATAATTACCCAGGTTTACGAAAAGATATCACAAATAGTTTTCGACATATTCTTGGTTACCATAGATTATGTGAACCGTATTTTTGCAATGGTCCTAAGCCAAACGAAATCAATTATATTGACGAAGCTCTGACTACTGGTTTGTTAGAAGAATTTATTCAAATAGTAAACCGCTTAGCAAATAATGCTGAAAGTTTATTGATGAACGTTGACAATAATATTTGTGAACAATTTAATAGCATCATAAATAAACACCTTTCCGGCAAACGAATAAATTTTTCACAAAGACATAATTACAATGTCCGAGTAGAAGCAGCTTTACTATCTCACAACACATCTGGAAAATACATACGTACTATTCATAAAGCATTAGTTCAAGATAAAAGTCCTGGTAAGAAAATAAATAATTATAATATAGCCTATATAGTATATATGTATTATGTATATCTTGGGAGAATTTTAATTGAATACGTTGATTTCAATTTTCAATTCTACAGCAAATGGATAATTATAATGCAACTTATAAATTATTTTATATGATCATTTTGACGTTTTATTTTTTTAGGAGATGTTGGTAAAAAGTTCTTAATTTCAAAAGAAAAGAAAAATGATCAGAGAAGAAGACGTATGTTATTTAATGAAAATGTACCTAGAAACACTAAACATTACGGTCCGGACGCTGATTATGGGTTAGCCGAACCTCTAGAAAACGACGAACCCTTTGACTATGACGAAATTAAACTTAAATTTTTAAACACATTATGTATGAATATGTATCAGCGAAATACTTTAGAAGAAGAAACTCGAAGTCAATCAAATTCTAAGAAGTGGCACATAGAAAGACAAAAGAGATTAACTGCCTCAAATTTTGGACGCGTATGCAAAAAAAGAGCCACTACATCATGTAAAAATCTGGTATATGATTTAGTATACAGAACTTTTAGTTCAAAGGCTACGGAATATGGGAAAGCAATGGAATCTTCGGCAATTGCAGATTTCGAAAAAACTATGTTTTTAAAAGTTAAGCCATGTGGTTTATACTGCGATTTAGAATACCCATTTTTGGGAGCCAGTCCAGGTAATATTAAAAATAGACTTATTTATAATAATGCATTATTACCAATGTTTTTTATTAAAAAATAATAAATAATAAGAATCATTAGTATAAAAAAAAAACAAAAACCGGGAAAGTCGCTCTGCTGTATAGTAGGTGTCGAGTGGGTAGGTCAAAGTGTAGGTAAAAATTTTGTAAATACATAAGCACAGTTTTTTTTTATTAGCGTTTAAAGTTCAAATATTTCCGAAATTCGTCAAAAACGCCAAAATTTGCAAATCATTTTGAAGAAAAAAATTCATAAAATATTTATTTATTCACCTAAGGTTTCAAATTTCAATACAAGGTTCTAGATAAGTTTAAATTTAATTAATCATAAATAAACGTCGAATGATATTTCGTTAATATTTTTTATGAGCGTATTTTAAATTCATGTAAAACTCATCAAAATTATTATATTAATAATAGAAAATTAATTAATATCAATATAAATGTAAAAATAGAAAATATTGACAAATCATCTCCGTTCAGAATCGTTTTTCGTATACAATGATATCTATCATTGCATTCAAGTTTAACCCACTCGACCCCTACTATACAGCAGAGCGCGACTTTCCCGGATTTTTTTATATTAGTTTGTCTTCAATTGTTATTAGTTTTAAAAATTCAGGTAGTTATTAATTAATAGAATTTGAATTCAATATATATTTTGTAAAAATTGTACAGATGGAGTGATTGATGATGACACTATTATTGAAGTTAAATGTCCAATATCAGCTAAGGATTATGATAATTTTATTGATGCTTTCAATGACAAAAAGGTATTATGAATAATTTTTAGCTCATACAATAATTATTTTCTTTGTGGTAATAATTATGATTTATGATTATTTTATTTCTGTATATAGTTGCCACAATGTGAACTTTTTGATAAAAAATTAAAATTAAAAAAAAATAGCAACTATTACTACCAGATCCAAGGACAAATGCATATTTGTAAAAAAACAAAATGTTATTTTGTAATTTATACTAGCTATTGGACAAGTATTGAAAGAGTAGATTATGATGACGATTTTTGGCAGACTAAAATGGCACCAAAATTAGAAAAGTCAGTATTTAAATAAATGTAATGACTGTACAAAACTTAGCATATAAACTAATGTACATTTATAATTATATATTTAATTAATATAATATTACGGTTTTATATCATTATTATAGTTTTTATATGAACTGTCTACTGCCGGAATTGATCAATCCACAATTTGGAAAGAGGTTACTTGTTTCCGATATAAAAGACCCGCGGTGACGACTGTAAAAAATTTTGTTACTACATTTCATTATATTAAATAATCAATAAATTATTATTAAAAAAAAAAAGTCTAGAAGTGTTTAAGTACACATACAATATACATAATATACATAAACTTTTGTTATTATTGAAAAAAATCTTTGTTTACTACACTACTACTTTCAACTTTGCCTACTGTCTACTAGTAGCTTGTGAGGTTAAACCCAGCAGCGAGCGCGCCGCGTGAATAGAATTATAGGTATATGGGTGAGATACATTTTTAACTACAAAATAATTATTACATTAAATTTGATAAATTTAGGAGAATAATCAACTACCGTACGAAAAGTGCTTCAGGTTACCTAAAGTTAAAATGTAAAGACCCAACATGGTTACTAAAAAATGTATTTACTCATAACGAATTATTATTTTAATTACTAATAAGGTTACAAATGTAAATCAAGCTATCTGCTTAAATTTGTTGTAATTTATGTATTGATACACATATTTAAGTAAACAGGAGCTTTCATTAAAAAGTAAGTCTAGCGAGGATCGAGCGCGCAATGGTACGTGCATTAGAAATACACGGGTGACAATTTACGCAATGGCCAATGCCAATATTGTATGGACCCCGTCAACTAGACTGTTCGTGAAATAATAATGAGCCTCTCCTGTGAGTACGCCGCGTAGGTCCGCCACGGAGACAGTGGGCGTGGTTACGTCCGGCCGCGACGGCGGCGATACGGCGCACAACGCCATCTCTGGAGCGTTGTATACGTAACACTTTTACTGTTGCACACTCTTAATATCATTACTTATTATTATATTTTTATTCATTCATAGAATTACGATGATAACTTGGCCCGTCGATGTAAATAATACCCGTAGTAGTGTGGTATTTACTATTTACCTAATTAAAGTATAATACACAAAATTAATATAAGTACCTACAGTAACTAATTTTATTACAAACATTTATTCAAATATTGTAAGACATTTTTTGATTTACTGAATTATTATGTTATTTGTTAGCTTTAAAAAAGGTAGGTAGGTAAGTATAATTGTTAATTTTATTTAAAAAAAAAAAAAGTAACTTATTTTTAACTAAGTTAAGTTACTTTTATTTTCTAATTAACTTGTAACTTTTACAAGTTAAAAAAAAAAATGAAGTTAACTTTTAACTTTAAGCTTAACTTACATTTTTCTATATTAACTTAACTTAACGAGTTAAAAAAAATAGTTAACTTGCCCAGCCTTGGCAATTTGTAACTTCAGGCTTGTACGTAGATGTTTGCTCCACTTTATAATTGTATAATAAACATGATATGAAAATAATGTATGTTCCTAAAGGTATTGTGAGGAAGAAGGGTTAGGAATATTACATAATTATTGTGTTAGAAGTTTAGAAGGTATTACACTAAATAATATTAAAAACATTTGTATGGTTGGATTATGAGATTAGGGTACTTATATGTTGTAGACGTAGATATTATTCAAATTAAAATTCCTTTGAGGTGTTCTGATTTTATTTAATTACGGATAATTAGCATTCAAATAAAACAAGTTCAACACTAACATAATAATCATTAGTCAATACAGTTTTAATCCTTAATATTATATAGTACCTAAGATTTAAAATTAATTCATCATTAGTACCTTTGTTATACATAAATATTTAATGCAAAGTTACATAACAACCAATATTTAATTATATATTTATAAGAATATTTATATTTTTTCCAGTTTTGGTTTATGAACAGCTTTCTTATTTGGTTCCTATAGAAAATCACTGTTTACTAAGTTGTAGTTTAATGTTATAAGTAAATTCTAAAAAAAAAAAAAATGTTTAATGCTATCACAGTGTCATATATTTGATGAAAGTACCTACTATGGTACCTAAGTATAATATCGTCAATTTATATAACATATATATGTAAACATTCCCCCACTATGAACATTTTGGTGGGCGCCCTTGACCATCTACCAATATTAAGGTAGGTTATAACAATATAACGTCTTATAAGTTATAAGTAGGTTATGAAAACCATAACGATATAATTAATATAACTGCAATTAGGTATAAATAATACCTATATATATAATATACTGGTGTATTAATCTAACCTATATAGATACTGTATGAATTATCTTTATGTAAGTTATATTTTTTATAATTCATTATAATAGATGTTGACTACTGATGGTAAACGATTTTAATAGTATTTTAGTTTCTTAATATCTTAAAACCTGTGGTATTTTTTGTAAAACGAAGACATTCTGTGTTAACGATACAACAATATTTCGTACACGAGTTTAAATTGCTGAATTTACGTTTCACGGCGTTATAGTTAAGTTCAATATATTTTTCTTTACATAAAATAATAAAATAAATTTAAGTGGTACTAAAGAATAAAAAGTTAATATTATATTATTTTCTCCTTGTAAAACATAAACTTGAAGTTAGCAATGATACAGAATATTATTCAACACATTGTTATATTTAAAAATATGTCTGCAATTTAAACAATTGTATACTATTAGTTAATAATTGGTAATTATTTTACACCTTTTATAACAAAAAACATATTTACATAATAATTTAAATATAATTTTATGATTATAAGCTCTGCCATAACTGGTTAATATATGTCAAAATGTCAAATAGTTTAGTATTTAATTAATTATAATTTGGGTAACATGGTAACACTATAGGTATTGTAATGTACAATATATACTTAATACTTATGAATTAAAGTTAATTGTAATAACACATGGTCACAAGTATAATATATTAAAGAAAATTATATCTAAGATTAAATAAATGTACCATAATCAAGTGTATAAAAAAATATTAATTTATGTTATATGGAAACAAGAGTTTAAATCCCAAAATAGTTTTTTAGTTTTATAACGGTTAATTTATTGATGATTTGTGATGATTAAAATGTCAAATGTTTTCATAACTTTATTATAGAATGATAACAAATATAATATCTTTTATGGTTTCTAAATCATGACTATTTTAGGGTGATTTTATTTTTAATAAACTTATGAAACATGCCTTAAATGTTGAATATAAGATGAAAACAGATAATTTCTAATTTATTCATCATTAATGAAACTATACAAAGTAATAGCAAGATACCTATCATAAGGTATGCAGAATGCATGCAAAACATGACCAATAACGCTTGAGAGCGAGAAAAAAGTGGCTAGTAGAAAGAAATTTTCTAAGGAAGATATGTGGACCGTAATTAAATAATTTAACCCAAAGGTATGAAATAAGTCAAACGAAGAAATATATAATGCCTTTAGAGAAACTAATATAATTGGAGTAATCAGAGTCAAAAGACTAATTTGGCTACTTGGGCTAGGCTACGTCACATACTAAGGTCTAACATGAATGCAAAGGAAGTCCAGAGTTGGAAGTCACGAAGAAAGAGGCACTTATAGGCAGACCTAAACAACGATGATTCGATAAAGTCTCAAAGAATCTAACGATGCTAGTAGTTAAAAACTATAGGGAGGTAGCAATAGACAGAAAGAGATGGAAGGAAGTGTGTATTGCAGCAATGGGCCTTAGCCCTTAACAGCCTAAACAAAAAAAGTACAGTGCATTTTTTACCGTTTGTTTTTAACATCAATATGAGTAAGATATTTTTATTTTCTAGCCGATTTTGCGTAACTCTTTGTTTATTACCATAGAAACGAATAATATGTAAAAATTACCTAATTCCCACCAGTTATATATTATATAATTAATGGTTACTTATTAATACATATTTACGATTCATACATTTTCTTCGAATTGGAAGATATTGAGTAGCGTGCCACGTTTGTCAATTTAAATACATACCTACACACAGATTTTTTTATTAAGCCCTTGACCGTTGCCCATTGGGTAATTTATAACATTGTTATTACTTATTATTTATTACCTACGATATTCAATTGTATAGAAATTAAAAACGAAATGTTAACAATTTACTATTTAGTTTGTCCTCAACAATTTATATTTAATGACAAAAAAACAAAAACAAACAATTTTAAATAAGATTGTCCATTTAAAATTAATATTAAAATTATAATTTAGATCATCTTCAATAGTCTATTTTATCTCGTGACTCAGTCAGTGCATAAATAAAATCAAGTAAATAAGATTTTTCCTCTCTTATAGGAATAATCAAGGTTAGGTTATTAAATATACTAAAATAACAATTATTTTTAGGTACCTACATAATTTCAATTTTTATATGATATTTTAAATTGTGGTTTAATGAATTAATTATATGTAACCATATATTTTATTTAAATTTTTTTTTTATGAAGACAATTACAAAGATTCAAGTATTCCACAACTGTAGATCTACACTATATTTTTCCCAAACGCTTCAAGAATTATAATAATTTGTGCATTCTTTTTAAATACAAGGACATTGTATACAATTAAAATATAATTATTTTTTTATAAATTAAAATGCATTTATATTGATTTATATTATCAAACAAGAACGAAATCAATAACAACTTGTCAACTACGAATTGTTAACAGATTGAATGATATAATATCATTTTTTTGAATAAAAAGTCATGGCCGCAAACCCGGAACGCGTCTGGGGCCCCGACTGTATTTGTGTCGAGGGGCACCAATAGTACTATGAATATTGGATATTGAATATTGTTATATATTAAACTATTATAATTTATAATATACTATTATCATTTTATCAAAAACTACTGATATGAAGCAAATCAATTACACAATTTGAATAGTATTAAAAAATATTAAGTTGTATAATATTATAAGGTATTATTTATATTATTTATAAAATGTTTTAGAATTATAAATAATTACTATAACTAGGTATATGTAGTTAACCTAAATGTGTATTTTAAATAAGGTAGGTAGTTTTAAAAAAAATATAACATTTTGCAGTACTACTATTATAGTCACTTTTTTAGATTCTGAGTGGAACGATGAATGTATTGATTTTACAATGATGTGTGTGTTTTTTTTT